TAAACATTGCTTTGTCCACTCCACCCTGGCCAGGGAGAACATTCTCACAATAGATGAAAAATTAACGTGCTGATATTGTGTGCATGGTGTTATGGAAGGGAACTGGTTAAAGAAAATTTTAGAAGGACATAAATATGGAAGCCATTTTAGTAAAGAAAGATTTATGTATGAAGATTAAGATGGATGTTTCTAGAATGGAAAAGAAAACTAGAAAGCTTATGCAAGTTATGAAGGCCTTAGTTAATTATTCAAGGCTTGTGAAGGATAAGAGTATAGTGATGTACATGGTGTTAAACTTCCTAAGGAGCTGGAAATCTCTGTGAGTTTGAGGACAGTCTGGTCTCTGTAGTGAGTTCTAGAATTGCCAGGGCCACACAGAAAGACCTTGTCTCAAAAATACCATAAAAAATAAAAACAAATAAAGTTTCTAAAGCTGAAAACCAACAGTTACAAGGACTGGGTAAAATGTATGTCTAATCAGAGTTTATTTAGAAATATCTGGTTTTTTGTTTGTTTTTTTGTTTTGTTTTTCAAGGCCTCAAACTCACAGAACTCAGCCTGCCTATGCCTCCAGAGTGCTGAATTAAAGGTGTGTGCCACCATTGCCTAGAGAAATGCCTGAGTTTTAAAACATACAATAGTTAAAAAGTACCAAGCTGGTGTAACTGATCTGTGTGTGCAAAAACCATACTTAGAAGCTATTCTGATGTCCAAAGGGATTAAAAGGAAGGTTATTTCCTCCTCCTCCCAAGGTCAATGAGGTTCCAGAGGACTGTGTGACATCCCTCAAAATGAGTTAAGACTATGGAAAGTCACCTGTTCTTGTGTTCAAGGAGGCCATGGAGGCCCCATTCAGTTAGTTCTACCAACTTCTAGTCTACAGAGAGTCAACACACAGGAATGATCTCCTTCGTTCTTCCAGGGGAGCCCCAGCCAGGCCCAGCAAGGCCTTTGACCTGTTCTCACATAAATGGACACTGGTAAACAGAGAGGTCAGATTCCTCACAAGCCTAGGTGACCCCTGAGGAGTCAGTCAGGTTCCTCACAAGCCTAGGTGACCCCTGAGGACCTGGTGCTCAACCAGCCTTAATAGTACAAAACCAAAAATTAACTTTGGTCACCCTCATGGTCTTAAAATGTTCATCAGGAAGGTATAGCCAGTGACAAAGAGAACTGCTAACAGTCCAAGGCCTTACACTCTCTGATTTGAGACTTGTCTGTGTGAGATGTTATTTACACAACTGTATTCCACTAACATTTTCTTCTTGATAAAAAGGTGTTGTCCAGACTTAAGACTTCATACCTTGGTTCACTGTAGCACCTACCTGAAGTCAAGGGAGACAGGTTCACTATTGTTTTAACCTAAAGACTAAACTATGTTAAAAAACCTCATGAGAAAGGCAACATGCTGACTTTTAGCTGATACAGCTGTCAAAGGACATGAGAGCGGATTTGGGGTCATCACTCTGGAGACCAGCCTTAGGGCCAATGAGAAAAGATGAGCCCGGCCAACGGCTCGTGTGAGCACAGCAAGAGATTCTAACGGACTTGGATTTGGATACTCTGAAGCACTTTCCAGACACCAAGGGCCTGCTTTCCTCCTTAAATATGATACTTGGAGACTCTTAGATAGACCTTCTGGAGGGTAACCCCAAAACTGCTACACTCAACACCCTGAAATAACCCTGAATAAGCCAGATCACTCATCACCCCAACTCTAGAATGACAGGGTAACTTCCGAGCAAGGAGGGGTGATAGGAACAGCTGGTAGAAACTGGCCAGGCAATTTAGGGTAAAGAGATTCCTAAGAAAAGCGACCAGGGCCGGGCGTTGGTGGCACACACCTTTATTCCCAGCACTTGGGAGGCAGAGGCAGGTGGATCTCTGTGAGTTCGAGACCAGCCTGGTCTACAGAGTGAGTTCCAGGACAGCCTCCAAAGCCACGGAGAAACCCTTTCTAGAAAAACCAAAAAAAAAGAAAAAAGAAAAGCGACCAGTTTCTTTGTCAACTAAAAGCTGGAAATGTCCTTGGGACTCTTAGTAGTGTAACTCCCTGCTCGGCCTCCCAGATCTTAGCATAACTGACACCACGATGAAAGTACCATCCAATCCATAAAATTCAGCATGCAAGCAGCTTCACCTGCCAAAATGAAAAGAGGCCTAATCCATCAAAGTCTGTAGTTCTGGGAAGTCTCTAGATGTACTGACTTGCTTTTTGGCTTCTGTAGCTCTGCTTCTGGCTAACCATTCTTGTTAACTGAGTTATGTCAACCCAGAACATGGTTTTTGTGCTTATAAGCTCACCCTAAGAAAGACTCTTGAGGGGCTATGCTGGGATCCGCAACACCCCGGATAGTCACCGACTGGCTAATAAAGACTTTTTATTGGCTTAAACCCATACCCACAACAGCAGCTTCATCTGCAACAGAGGCAAAGATACCGAAAGTGTTTTGAGATCTCTGAGCTCTAATCTGGCTCCAAGATGATTCTGTGGTTACCTCTTTAGACAGGCAGAAAGTTGAAGTAGCGATTTTGTTAAGAGAGAAAAGAAAGCCTTATTAACCTTCTATGGGCCAGGCCAGTCTCCTGGCAAGGAACTGAGCTCACCTTAAATCATGGAATAATTAGTTCATTGTACAAGGGGCCTAACTCAGTACCATTGAGCCAACTATTACTAAACAGGAAATCCCTCGATATTGAGTTTCTTACTCAGGATAGGACTGAAAAAGAAAGCCAACGTCTCAATGAATCTAAAGAAAAGAATGTTTAAAATAAGAGGAGGGTTGGCCGGTGGTGGCGCACACCTTTAATCCCAGTACTCAGGAGGCAGAGGCAGGTGGGTCTCTGTGAGTTTGAGGCTATTATCCACAAAGTGAGTTCCAGGACAGCCAGAGCTACAAGATGAAACCCTGTCTGAAAACAAACAAAAAACACCCAAAGGGGAGGAGCGGCAAAGGAACTATCAAACATGAATTTTTTTTTTTTTTTTTTTTAGTGACAGGGTTTCTCTGTGTAACAGCTCTGGCTGTCCTGGAACTCGCTCTGTAGACCAGGCTGACCTTGAACTCACAGAGATCCGCCTGCCTCTGCCTCCCGAGTGCTGGGATTAAAGGCACCCGGCCCTTCTTGCTGTCTCCCACCCTATTGGTTTCTGTGTAGCTGAGAAAGGACACAAGGGTACATACACTAAACACGTACCCTGGAACCTCCTACTCTTTTTAAACATTTCATTTATTTGTGTGTATACAGGTGGGAGTGTGCGTGTATGCGTGCGTGTGTGCACATGTGTGTGTGCATGTGTGTCAATGTGCCATGGCGTGCCTGGAGTGGTCAGGAGACAACTTCCAGGAGTCAGTTCTCTTCTTTCATCATATGGGTCCTGGGGTGAAACTCAAGTGCTCTCTGAGTCATCTTACTGGCTCTTTCTTTCTATTTCTGCCTTTGGTTTTGTTTTCTCTTTTGGGATAGGGTCTCACCCTGTAGCCCTTTAAAACATCTTTAAAATCCACAACGCTAAGGACTGGAGAGATGCTCAGTGGTTAAGAGCACTGACTGCTCTTGCATGGGACCTAGGTTTGATTCCCAGAACCCACATGGTGGCTCATAACCATCAGTAACTCCAGCCCCAGGGGATCTGATGCCCTCTCCTGACCTCTGAGGACACCAGGTATAGCTATGGTGCACAAACATACTTTCAGGCAAACACTCTTATGCAAAATGAATGAATGAATGAGTGAGTGAATGAATGAATTAACCCTGCACCCCCAAACCTCCTGGGCCTGCTTTGCAGGTTTGCACTTTGCTAGATGTTGGGTGGGGCAGAATAAAGAAACAAAAGGCAGGAAAGAAACCAAATCAACGGATGAAGCTGCTTATTTCAAACGTTGAAGGACCGAAGGACGGGCACTCCTCCGAAGGAGGGAGGTCCTGCCAGGGTTGAAACTCTGGCTGGGCCCTCGCATAGAGACAGCCAGGGCTTGGACTGAGGAAACTGATGCAGCATCCGGTCCTGCAGTCTCTCCTTCCTCAGATTGTTTGCTCAAGGTGAGACAGACTGTCTTGGAAACCGGCTGTCTAAGCAGACACTCCTCTCTGGACTGACTTGTAACCGTTGAGCAAGGCCAGCTGTAACCTCCTAGAAATTCTGTTTTTACAGCCTAGGCTCCCCTCACTTCCCCAACCACAAGTGAATAAATGTTAGAAGATTAAGTTTTATGGATATTTGTGAGGCAGGTGACATAGTCGTTGGACAAGGCGACCCTTTTTTCGCTCTGAAATCATGTTGGATTCGATCCCCTTTTTGGTGTATTTCTTTCTGAGATTCTCCATAAATGCAAAAGGGTGTGAAAACCACAGTGGCAGTCTGGCCTGGTGTCAAAAGGCAGAGTCAGGTGGATCTCTGTGAGTCTGAGGCCTGCCAGGGCTACACAGTGAGACTCTGCAAAAGAAATAAAAAACAGGCCTGGAGAGATGGCTCAGAGGTTAAGAGCACTGGCTGCTCTTCCAGAGGTCTTGAGTTCAATACCCAGGAATCACATTGTGGTTCACAACCACCTGTAATGAGATCTGGTGCCTTTTTCTGGCCTGCAGGCATAACACTGTATACATAACAAATAAATAAATATTAAAAGAAACAAACAACAAAAAACTCTAATGCAATACAAATGATTTTGTAATGACATCAGGCCTTATGAGGGTGCAAATCCTTTGTTAGTGGGAAGATGGATGCCCTGGTGCCTTAGCGTTACCACAGGAGCAACCTCAACGTAGCTTCAAAGCTGTTTAACCCCAGAGGGGCATTCTAACACACAACTACAAAGATGCAGCTTACTTCCTGCCCTGCATCAGCTCAACCCTTCTCTGAAAGCACCAAGCTCCAGGTATTTCGTTGTAGCAAAACCTCGACTCTCACACACCTCGCTACACTAGCTGTTTCAAGTCAACATCATTGTCAGCTGGAGTGCAAAATAAAAACCAAGAAAGGCAACGGGACACACAGGGTTTCTTGATGTTTTATTATTAACTCCCCCCAAAGAGCAGTGAGTGGCCCAGAGAAAAATGAGGAGACCCACTCTCCAGCGGCAGGGACTCTGTGTCCTGTCCCTTCCCAGACTTTGTCAGCCCAGCTTGATGGACAGCAGTAAGGTGGCAAGAATCCCCGGCAGCTGCGGGGAGACACATCCCAAACAAAGTCAAACTGGACGAAGCTGGCGAGATGGCTCAGAGGGTAAGGCGCTTGCAGCTAAACCTGACGACTTCTATCCCGAGACCCGCAAGGCGGAAGCTGAGTCAACTTTTGATGCCTGCAGGTTTCGCTCTGACCTCCACGCGTGTACAGTGGCACAGAGCGTCCATCTCACACACAAATGTTCCTTCCTCCCTCCCTCCCTCCCTCCCTCCCTCCCTCCCTCCCTCCCTCCCTCCCTCCCTCCTTCCTTCCTTCCTTCCTTCTGAGACAGGGTTTCTCTGTGTAACAGTTCTGACTGCCCTGGAACTCGCTCTGTAGACCATGCTGGCCTCAAACTCACAGAGATCCACCTGCCTCTGCCTCCCAAGTGCTGGCATTAAAGGTATGCACCACCATCCCCCTGCCACACACAAATATTTTTAAGATTATTTTTACAAATTTGGTTTATGTGTATGAGTGTTTTGTCTGCATGTATTTATGTGCACCAACCATGTGTGTTGCCAAGACCCTCGTCCGTGGTCATTGGTCTGCCGCTGGGAAAGGATGGGGCAGATAAAAGGCAGCTCTGAAGGCTGAAACTTTTGGCTAATGAGGCAAGAGTAAGCCTCCTGCCTCCCTGCCGTTTGCCCCGCTAGAGGACTACATTTCCCAGAATCCTCTATAATGACTTCCTTTGAGGTTGCACCAATAGGAAGCCTCTGTTCTCTATCTTCCGGTAGCGGCTACGAAATGGAAGGATCTCCTCGGTACAACCGAGAAAAGAAGACCTCTTCTGTTTTCTTCTGCTAAACCCATTATTTATTTTGTTTGTAAAAAGGGTCTCATTATATAGCCAGGATGTCCTGGGAGTATCTATGTTTGGCAGGCTTTCCTTAGAACTCATAGAAATCCCGCCTGCTTCTGCCTTTCCCGTGCACCACCACGCCGGGCTGGTTTTTTGTTTTGTTTAGAAAGATTCTTGTAGCCCAGGCTGGCCTCAAACTCCTGATTCCCCTGCCGACGCCTCCCAAAGCCTAGGATTATTGGTGTGTGCCACCATTCTGGCTTTTGGTTAAAAAAGGTGTTGGGTTTTTTAATTATCATCCCTTTTTTTTTTTTTTTTTTTTTTTTTTTTTTGGTTTTTCGAGACAGGGTTTCTCTGTGGCTTTGGAGGCTGTCCTGGAACTCACTTGGTAGTCCAGGCTGGTCTCGAACTCGCAGAGATCCGCCTGCCTCTGCCTCCCAAGTGCTGGGATTAAAGGCGTGCGCCACCAACGCCCGGCTATCATCCCTTTCTTTACAGCGAGTGAGCATGTGTATTTGTTCCTGCAATGGTATGCGTGTGGAGGTCAGAGAACAGCTTGACAGTCGATTCTTTCCATAATGTCGATTCAGAACTTCGAAGTCAGGTCATCTGGCTTGGTAACAAGGGCCAATTTGCAGCTAGGCCATCTTGCTCCCTGTGGTGCAGGTGTGTGTGTGTGTGGTGTGTGTGTAAGCATGTTTGGAAGTGCATGCTTTTATACATAGGGTCAGGTGTTGATCTTGGTGTCTCCTGTCAGCTTTTAAATGATTTATTCATTTGTGGTCAGGGAAGCTGCAGCTCAAATGTGGAGGTCTGAGGACACCTTGTTGGTTCCCCATCCGCCTTATGGGTTCTGGGTATCCTAAATCAGCCTCATGCTTGTGGGGCAGACATCTTACAGGCTCAGACCTTGAAGCTTTTGTTTTGAGACAAGGTCTCTAGGTATTCCTGGCTGATCTGCAACTTGCAGTGTAGACCAGGCCGGCAACCCTTGAACTTTTAATGCTCCCTCCTCACACCTTGCATGTTCTGGGAGTGCAGGACCTACCACCACAATGGGCTCACACGAGAACTCTTCGTTTTTAGAAGGAAAGCCTGTGATTTTGTTTAAGAGTTAGAACTGAGCATCGTGGTGCACACCTTTAGTCCCAGTACTCGGGAGGCAAAATCAGGTGGATCACTATGAGTTCCAGGCCAGCTGGGTCTACAGAGCTAGTTCTGGGGCAGCCTGGCTAAATAGTGAGATCATGTCTCAAAACCAACAAGTTGGGGAATGTTCTAATGTTTATTGCTTAATCCGTGTGACCAGGACATACCATAATTCATTATCTCACAAGTCTAGGTTGTGTAAAAGAAACAAAAAACAAAACAGGTCCAGACTTACTGAGACTCACTGGCCGTTGTTACCTCTGTGTGGTGTGTGCACTTCTGTGTGCTCATGGGCAGCAGGGTTGGGGGTAGGGGATGCTGTGCTCCATCACTCTCTGCCTTAGTCACTTGAAGGAAGAGTCTCCTGCTAAATTTGGAGCTGGGCTGTACCATCTTGAGGTCCCTGTGTGTCAGCCTCCCCAGGGCTGGGACTGACAGTGTAACCCTCCCTCTTCAAGGCGGCCCTCTAGGAGGTGACTAGATCTGCCACTAGGAGGAGCGTCTTCCCCAGGGATGGAGTTCTGGTGGGGCCTGGATGACTCACAGCAAGAACAGGTCATCATGAAATGAAGGTGCCTTCTGTGTCCCGAACCTTCCAAGCACACCTCTGCTCTCCACAGACCTAAGAGGATCCAGGAACATTCAGCTTCCCAGCTGCCTGAACCATTATCCAAAGTGAACCCCTGGATGGGGGTCGGACACGGGGGTGATTCAGGAGGTTCATGGTCTTAGTCAGCTACATAGTGAGTTTAGGGCCAGCCTAAGATACAGGAGACCCTTGAAAACAAAGAAACAGTGCCAGCAAGAATTCTAAGGCCAGTTGTGGCACTCATCTCAGTACTTGGGAGGCTGAGGCAGGGGGATTGGCTCATTGAGATTGACCTACACAGTAAGATCATTATCTCAGCCGGGCATTGGTGGCGCACATCTTTAATCCCAGCACTCAGGAGGCAGAGGCAGGTAGATCTCTGTGAGTTTGAGACCAAGCCTGATCTACAGAGCAAGTTCCAGGACAGCCTCCAAAACAATGCAGAGAAACCCTGTCTCGAAAAAAAAAAAAAAAAAAAAAGATCATTATCTCAAAACCCCAAACTCCACAACAAAAATGTATCAAATGGTGTTTGGTGGCACCTCCTGTCTGCAGTATCCACACCCAGGAGACTAGAGCAGGAAGACTGCCATGAAGGCCAACCTGGGCTACATATGAGGTTCCAGGCCAGCCTGGGCCATGGAGTAAGACTATATCAAAAGGCAAAATAAAGAACCTGAGGATGTGACTCAGTTAACATTGCCCCTGCTTAGCATGAGTAAAGCCTGGTTCCAGGCAGTGTGTGCCTGTGAGTCCAGCTCTGGGAGGTAGAGGCAGGAGGACCATCCTAGGCTACACAGGTAGTTGGAATCAGAAAATGAAAAAACAAACAAACAAAAAACCAGGTTTAGCTTCACAAAGGCTTTCCTAGCACGCAGGAGGCAAAGGCAGGTAGATCTCTGTGAGTTTGAGGCCAACCTGGTCTAGTGAGGCCAGCCAGAGATAATTAGAACTTGTCTCAAAAGGGGGTGGTGGTACAGGGGGGGTCAGGAGATGGCCCACTTGCTGGTCTTCCAGTTCGATTCCCATGGTGTTTCACAACCATCTATAGTGGGATCTGGTGCCCTCTTCTGGCATGTAGGAAGGAAGGAAGGAAAGAAGGAAGGAAGGAAGGAAGGAAGGAAGGAAGGAAGGAAGGAAGGAAGGAAGGAAGGAAGATAAATTTCCCATAACCTTCTATGTGTGAAGGTTATGGAAATATGTGAAGCTGTGCCTTTGCCCAGGCATCTTTTGATTGATTTAGTAAAGAACTTAATGACCGATAGCCAGGCAGGAAGAGGTTAGCTGGGACTTCTGGGCAGAGAGAAGAGAAGCGATAAATCTAGGCATGGCAGCAATGCCAGAGTAGACACAGAGGAAGCAGGACATCCAGGAGGAGAGATGGAAGCTATGAGCCACGTGACAGCAATAGATTAATAGAAATGGACTAAATTAAGTTACAAGAGCTAGTTAGAAACAAACGGAAGCTAAGGACAAACTTTTTAATTAATAAGAAGTCTCCATGTTCCGATTTGGGGCCTGTCAGTCCAAGAAAGCCTACTACAACCTTCTGTAACAAATAAGAGCTAAACCTCTCCCCGAGCCACGGCCACAAATTATGTGTGTCAGTAAATCCTAGGCCCCTGGCTCACTCATCTAGCCACAGGATCAAGGTGGCCTCAAACTCAGAGATTCCCCTGGTTTCTCCCTTCCAAGTTCTGGGATTAAAGCTCTGTGTCACAGCACCCAGCACGGGAACTGGCTGAGATGGCTTAGTGGGTAAAGGAGCTTGTGGCCGAACCTGATGACCCAAGTTTGATGCCTGGGATCCACATGTTGGAAGGAGAGAGCCAACTCTGCCATGCTGTCCTCTGTCTGACATCCACACATGTGCATGCACACAATCAAATCAGTTGATGTCATTTTCTTCAATGACAGGTGGGGTCTCACCTGCACGGCTGCTGCTCGCAAGGAGACTGCGCTCAGGGTGAAGCTTTGAGTCCTGGTGATTTTCAGAAGTTTGGCGAAGCAGCCCTGGGACACAGATAGACCAGAGCTGTTAGCAGCTCAGGGACTCCAGAGCCTTTGGCCCCTTCTGTCCCCGTGGACCAGTCAGAGTTCTGGGGTTCTTTCATCTCTGGCCTGGCTTCCTTTTCACTCCCTTCTCCAGTCTGTGCTAGAGAACGGGTTTGACCAGTCAGCCCCATCCCCAGAGGCTGTGTGGTCTCAGGAAGTCAAGGTGCCTCTCTGTGCATTGGCTACCCCAACCCTAACCCTAAATGGGACTAATGCTATGAGAGTTTCGTAAGGACTTCAAGAGTTCACATGGGACCAATCAGCTGTTATTTCTTCCCTTTCTTGTTCTTCTTTTTTTCCCTCTCCAAGACAGGGTCTTATTGTATCCCCTCTGCTGTCCTGTAACTTACTAAGTAGACCAGGTTGATCTCAAATTCAGAGATCCTCCTGCCTCTGCCTTATGAGTGCTGGGATTAAAGTTGTGGAACACGATGCCTGGCTTCTCTCTCCCTTTCTTTTTCTTCTTTCATTTCGTTTTAGTTTAAAATTTTTGTTTTATTATTACTGTGTGTGTGTGTGTGTGTGTGTGTGTGTGCTTAAGCACATGTGTGCATATACCCTCAGAGTCCAGAAGAGGGTATCTATTCTGGTTGGCTTTTTGTAAATGTGACAAACTAGAATTATCTGGAAAGAGGAAACTTCAGTTGAGAAAATGCCTCCATCAGATTGGCCTGTGGGCAGCCAGGCGGTGATGGCACACGCCTTTAATCCCAGCACTCGGGAGGCAGAGGCAGGCAGATCTCTGTGAGTTCGAGGCCAGCCTGGTCTACAAGAGCTAGTTCCAGGACAGAAAAAAAAAAAAGATTGGCCTGTGGACAGATAATATAAAGGGCGCTTTTAATTTTTGACTGATGATGGATGTGTGAGGGCCCATCTGGCTGTGGGCAGCACCACCCCTGGGCAGGCGGTTCTGAGTGGTATAAGAAAGCAGACTGAGTAAACCATGAAAAGCAAGTCAGTAAGCAGCACAACTCCACGTATAGATAGGTCAAAGGTCAACTTCAGGGGTCAGCTCTCTTCTTCTGCCATGCAGTCCAGGACTTGAACTCGGAACCTGGCAAGTGATTTACTTCCTGAGCCAACTTGCCTGCTTTGTTCATGCCTTTTCAACCCACACCTGCCATGCAGTGCCTCAGAGAACTAACTGGGTTCGTTTCTCTCATGCTGACTGCCCATCAGACTCAGTGAGGGACTTGAGATCATCTACTCAGAAGCTGGACACAGCTACTGGCTCCGTGGCAGCCATGGGGAAGCACCTGCAGGAGGTCCTGGGTCACCATCAGCTGAGTGAGTTCAAGGCCAGGTCAGCTACACTTGACTCGTTTTTGAACAGCTGAAATGTGCCCAGAAGAGGTTGGTGGTTGTTTCTCTAAGGTGTGGGAGGCTCTTGGGTCCATACCCACACAAGAAAAGGTAAAATGATCAATTGCCCGCTATGCCTATTTCAGAGTATGTTATAAAAGGCGTGGCTCACCTTCTCCATGGCAATGTTCCACTGTGTAGAGAAGTCTTCTGGCTCATTGTATCCGCCATATTCCTCCTCAGAGTCAGAAAGGTGTGCTCCGAGTCCACATCCTGAACCTTCTGGGAGAGTCCAGAAGCAGAAGCACCAAGGGAGAGACAATGAAAAAGAGAGCCTCCTGCCTGTGGTCCCTCCCTCCCTCCTTCCCTCCCTCCCTCCCTCCCTCCCTCCCTTGCTCTTTCTTTTCCTTGAGACAGGGTCTCACGTACCTCAGATTAGCCTCAGATGCACTATGTACCCAAAGCTGACCATGAACTTCTGACCCTCCTACTTCTGCTCAAGTGCCAGAGTTATCGAGTGTTATTTCTTGGGGCTAGAAGTTGGGGTTTTCTTTGACTGCCATCACTTTCTCTCCTTTCCTCACAGTTCTGAAGGGCTAGAACCGTTTCTATGAGGCTGCCATGGCACTGGCGGGAGAGGAGCAGAGCAGGAGTTCAAAGAACCCGGACCACCTGCGCTTTCCTACAGGCTCGCCAGACCATCACTTGAGCCTAAACTCAACTGGGCTGCCTGGCTGGAGAGATGGCTCAGAGGTTAAGAGCACTGACTGCTCTTCCAGAGGGCAGGAGGCAGGAGGCAGGAGGCAGGAGGCAGGAGGCAGGAGGCAGGAGGCAGGAGGCAGGAGGCAGGAGGCAGGAGGCAGGAGGCAGGAGGCAGGAGGCAGGAGGCAGGAGGCAGGAGGCAGGAGGCAGGAGGCAGGAGGCAGGAGGCAGGAGGCAGGAGGCAGGAGGCAGGAGGCAGGAGGCAGGAGGCAGGGAGGCAGGAGGCAGGAGGCAGGAGGCAGGAGGCAGGAGGCAGGAGGCAGGAGGCAGGAGGCAGGAGGCAGGAGGCAGGAGGCAGGAGGCAGGAGGCAGGAGGCAGGAGGCAGGAGGCAGGAGGCAGGAGGCAGGAGGCAGGAGGCAGGAGGCAGGAGGCAGGAGGCAGGAGGCAGGAGGCAGGAGGCAGGAGGCAGGAGGCAGGAGGCAGGAGGCAGGAGGCAGGAGGCAGGAGGCAGGAGGCAGGAGGCAGGAGGCAGGAGGCAGGAGGCAGGAGGCAGGAGGCAGGAGGCAGGAGGCAGGAGGCAGGAGGCAGGAGGCAGGAGGCAGGAGGCAGGAGGCAGGAGGCAGGAGGCAGGAGGCAGGAGGCAGGAGGCAGGAGGCAGGAGGCAGGAGGCAGGAGGCAGGAGGCAGGAGGCAGGATTGAAAAGGCATGAACAAAGCAGGCAAGTTGGCTCAGGAAGTAAATCACTTGCCAGGTTCCGAGTTCAAGTCCTGGACTGCATGGCAGAAGAAGAGAGCTGACCCCTGAAGTTGACCTTTGACCTATCTATACGTGGAGTTGTGCTGCTTACTGACTTGCTTTTCATGGTTTACTCAGTCTGCTTTCTTATACCACTCAGAACCGCCAGCCCAGGGGTGGTGCTGCCCACAGCCAGATGGGCCCTCACACATCCATCATCAGTCAAAAATTAAAAGTGCCCTTTATATTATCTGTCCACAGGCCAATCTTTTTTTTTCTGTCCTGGAACTAGCTCTTGTAGACCAGGCTGGCCTCGAACTCACAGAGATCCGCCTGTCGTGCTAGGGATAGAACACAGGGCCTCTCGAAAGCTGAGAAGGCTCTATCCACATCCACAGCCTTTCAGTCTCCTTTCCAAGGGATTTGATGGAAAACCACGCCTTTTCCATCCCTGATCCAGGCTCCCCAGCTGTATTCATTTGTACCCACATCCCCAGCACTGGGTTCCATGGTGCCTCCTACACATTTATTTCCGACATGTCTCACTCCTCATCAACCTGTCCTACATCTCCCCTGCCCCTCTAACCTCCCTCCGGGAGCACAGATCCGGAAGGCAATTTAGATCAACTTATTTCTGTCTTCCAGGGAGAGGGCTATGCAGGGAGGCTGCCAAGTCTCCAGGGCCTGGATTGTGGCATACTTACAGCCGTGAAGCCATTGAATAAAGACAACAGCTTCTTCAAGAAAGAATACGGCGTGTGTATTTCAGGCATGATGTGCAGACCTAGGTGCCCTGGATGTTGAAGCCAGCATCTTCCCTGGATCTCTGGGCGGCTGAGACCCAGCTGTTAGCAAGGGATGCTCAAGCTGACTGGCTTTGCTTCCCTTTCCTGGTGACTTCCCTTTATCACCTCACAATAGGAAACTGGCTGGGCTCGGTGGCACACACCTTCAGTCCCAGCACTAATAAACACCCCCAAGGGTAGGATCCCAGCACCTATCCAGTGGCTCACGACTGCCTGGACCTCCATCCAGCTCCATGACATTTTTTTTTTGGTTGTTCGAGACAGGGTTTCTCTGTATTGTTTTGGAGGCTGTCCTGGAACTTGCTCTGTAGATCAGGCTTGGTCTCAAACTCACAGAGATCTACCTGCCTCTGCCTCCTGAGTGCTGGGAATAAAGGTGTGCGACACCAACGCCTGGCAGCTCCATGAAATTTGATGCCCTCTTCTGGCCCCTGCATTCATATGGCAGACAGCTCACATGAATACACATGCACTTACAGGAAAAAAAAATACAAAAAAGCTTAACAAAGGGGCTGGAGAGATAGCTCAGTGGTTAATAGCACTGGCTGTTCTTCCAGAGGACCCAGGTTTGATTCTCAGCACCCACGTGGCTGTTCACAGCAGTGTGTTGTTGGGCCCCAGCCCCATGGGGTCTCTGTGAGTTGCTGGTCAGCCTACAAGTGCAACTTGTTTTCCAGTCCAAGTGCTTTCTGTTTTCTAGTCCTGGCTTACTGCCCTGGCCTTGACCCTCTGACATCAACATCCAGCAGGAGGAAAACAATGATCTCTTCTACCTGGGGTTTTTTCCACTGTGCTGTAAACTTGTATAAAAAGCTCCTCCCTCCTACAAGGGAGAGACCTGTTAGCACTTGCAATGAAGACACACACATACACACTCTCCTGGCAATAAAGGCAACACATGCATTCTATTAGGACAAACAAATGGATGTCTGGTCTCTCTTTTCCTGATACCCTGGACTTGCTTGTGGCGCTGGCACCACAGTGTGTAACTCCAGTTCCAGGGGATCTAACACCTTCACACTAATGCACATAAAATAAAGTTCAAAATTATTTAAAAACTAACAAAACAGTAGGCAGCTGTGGAGGTTGACAGTAGTGGAAAACAGGTCCCCTTACGGCCCCGACTCAGCTCCTTCTCCAAACAGGCCACACTGAACAGCGAAGGAGATAAGCCACCAAGGAGATCAGCCACCAAGGAGATATCAGCCACCAAGGAGATCAGCCACCAAGGAGATATCAGCCACCAAGGAGATATCAGCCACCAAAGAGATCAGCCACCAAGGAGATCAGCCACCAAGGGCAGCAGAACCACCAGGGCCACAGGGCCACCAGGGCCACCAGGCAAAGGACTGGCCCTATATTTGCCATGTGAATCAGTGACATCCCCTGCCCCTAAATCCTAACCCAGTAGTTGCTCTCTAAATCAGTGTAGCATGAATAAGAAAGGGGCTTCGAGGTCACACATTTTGTTTTGTTGTTTTTTAATTTAATACATTTTAGCTTTCATAATACATATGTATTTACCTTCATTTTGCATGTATGAGGTTCTGCCTGTGTTCCCTGTGCATGTGCTGCCTACAGAGCCAGAGGGCATTTGGTGCCCTGAGACTAGAGTTACATATGGTCGTGAGCCACAAAGGGGGAGCTGGTCATCAGGGTTAATGGCAAGTACATTTAGCCACTGTATCTTGTCAGCCAGTACATTGGATTTTTATGTGTTTTCTGAGGGTTGAACTCAGACCCTCACGGTTCTCCTCACCTTTTGTATTTTTGAGAGTTTCATGTAGCCCAGGTTAATCTCAAAGTAGCTATGTAGCTGAGAATAATCTTATACTTTTGTGTGTGTGTATGACAGGGTCTCTTTGTGTGTTCCAGGTGGCCTGGAAGTCACTATGGAGACCAGGCTGGCCTTGTACTCACAGAGATCTAACTACCTGCCTGCACCTTCTGAGCTCTGGGATTACAGAGTGCACCCCCACAGCTGGCTTCACCCTTTGAGACAGTGTCCTGCCTCCCCCGCGTGGCTGGTGGAGGAATATGTTTCTTCCACAAAGAATCCTGAGCCACTGATAGCTGCTGAATCCGTAGGATTTTTGAGCTTAAAGGACGATTTCCTTGAACTGCAAAATTATACTGGCCTGATGAAGCAGCGGCAAGGGTGGAATTCTGGAGCTGTCCCCTGGCGGTCGCTAGGGGGCGCTACGGCCACAGAAACTAATTGACGCATCTCCGTGTCTGAGACCTTTGGGTACACATGCGTGCTTCCGGTCTGGTGAGGCCCTCCAAACTGTTCCTCGTGTCAGGAGCACAGGGCCACAGTATCGCCAAACACTGTTTTGTGCCGTGTTGCCCTGGCACACGTTGTATGAGGGCTCCATGTCCCCACTTATTCACCGAGTCCTCTCCTCCTCTCTCCCCTCCCCACTTTCTTCTCCCTCTTCTCCCCTCTTTGAGACAGATCTTTTGTAACCCAGGCTGCCCCCAAAGCCCACGTATTCGAGGATGATTTTGAAACTCTGACTTATTAGCTCTGTGTGGAAGCAACACTGTGGGAGTCTTCCACAGATCCCGCTCCAGCTGGTCGTGTAGCCAAGGATGGCTTTGGACTCCTTGTTTTCTCTCTCTCTCTCTCTCTCTCTCTCTCTCTCTCTCTCTCTCTCTCTCTCTCTCTCTCTCTCTCTCTCTCTCTCTCTCTCTCTCTCTCTCTCTCTCTCCCTCTCTCTCTCCCATATTATTATTGTTATTATTATTATTTTTTTTTTGGTTTTTATGAGACAGGGTTTCTCTGTATTGTTTTGGAGGCTGTCGGTCCAGCCTGGCCTCGAACTCACAGAGATCTGCCTGCCTCTGCCTCTATTCTTATTCTTCTTCTTCTTATTATTACTGAGACAGGTTTCTCTATGTAGCCCTGGCTGTCCTGGAACTCACTATGTAGACCAGGCTGGCCTCAAGATCTGCCTGCTTCTGCCTCCCAAGAGCTAAGATTAAAGGTGTAGGCCTGGGTAGAAACAGGAGTGAGTGGGCCGGGCGTTGGTGGCGCACGCCTTTAATCCCAGCACTCGGGAGGCAGAGGCAGGCGGATCTCTGTGAGTTCGAGGCCAGCCTGGTCTACAGAGAGTTCCAGGACAGCCCCCAAAACAATACAGAGAAACCCTGTCTCGAAAAAAAAAAACAAAATAAAACAACAAAAAAATGGTGTAGGCCACCACCGCCCCAAGTTTTCTTTTGCCTGCAGATATGTCTGTATGAAGGCATTGGAGCCCCTGGAACAGGAGTTACAGACAGTTGTGAGCAGCCATGTGGGTGCTGGATATTGAATCCCGGTCCTTTGGAAGAGCAGCCAATGCTCTTAACCACTGAGCTATATCTCCAGCCCCCAAGTTTTCTTTTATGTTTGAGATTATAATTATGTTTCTTCCTTCCCTTTCCTCCCTCCAAACCCTCCCATACACCCCTCCTTGATCTCTTTCAAATCCATGGCCTCTCTTTTCATTAATCATTGTTACATACATATATGCATATGTATGTACATACACACTCCTCAAAATACCTGCCCAGTCTGTATGTTACGTGTATGTATGTTTTCAGGGCTAACCACTTAGTACTGGATAGCCAAACGGCACTCTCTCCCTGGGGGAGGCTATTTCTCCCCACTCAGAATTCCTTAGTTGCCTGAAGTTCTTTCTGTAGGGTTGAGGCCTCCTGGGCCTTCCCCTGTCCACTCTGAGATGTCTACTGGTGCTGTCCTTGTTTACCTCACTTTTATGTAGTTATGTTGGTGATACGTTACAGGCACAGCTTCTGATATTTCTAGAAGACACATCTCACAGTAAACTCCCTGGTCCTCTGGCTCTGCCAGTCTGTCTCCTCTGAAATGTTCCCTAAGCCTTAGACACAAGGGTGCTTTGTAGCTGTTCCATCCGGCCTGGGCTCCCCAACTCTGCACTGTGGTTGTTTGCTTTGTAGTGGCCTCCATCTGCAAAGAGAAGTTTCCTTAATGAGGGTGAGCACTAAGAAGATTTGGTGGTAGGTGCCTCAGGTGGCTTTCGGGGTGTTTGTTGTTGTTGTTTGGTTTGGTTTTGTTTGTATTTCAAGACAGGGTTTGACTGTGTATCCCTGGATATTCTGGAACCAACTCTGTAGACCAGGCTGGCCTCAAACTTACAGAGATCCGCCTGCCTCTGCCCCACCTCCTCCCAGTGGCCTTTTTGTTTTATGATTTATTTTATTTCACATGTACAAGTGGTCTGTCTGTATGTATGTCTGGGCACTGTGTGTGTGCCGGGTGCCCTGGAGATCACAAAAGAGGATTAGATCCCTTGGAATTAGAGATATGAACTATTGTGAGCCATCATGTTGGTGCTGGGAACCAAACCCAGGTCCTCTGTAAGAGCAACAACTGGTCCTCACCACTGTACATATCTCCAACCTTCACCTTAAACTCTTTTTTGTTTTGTTTTGTTTTTTGAGACAGGTTTTGTGTGTGTGTGTGTGTGTGTGTGTGTGTGTGTGTGTGTGTGTGTGTGTAGACCAGGATAATCTGGAACTCACAGAGATCCGCCTGCCTCTGCCTCCTGCGTGCTGGGATTGGGATTAAAGCCTGCACCACCACTGCCCAGCACTTCTTCTCTTTTTTAAACGTCTGATTTGTCATAGTGACAAAAAAAACTGACTAACACCGTTACCAGCCATCAGGCTAAGAACTTTCTGTGTCAATCCATGCTTAAATGCTTTTACTAGCAGCTGTTAATTATGCATGCTAATGGGATTCAGTATGATGCTGTCATAAATGTGCTGGTGGATTTGCTGTCACAGTGGACTTGGTGCTGTCTTTATCCCTTCTTCACAAATGAGGTGACTGAGGCGTGAAGGAGTAGACATCTGCCCCACGCTAAAAGGAGTGTTGAAAAATCTATCTGTTTCTCTCTCCATCATTCATGTCAGGAGAGTGTCAATACCCAGGGAACCACATCTCCAGCTGTTTGATTATCTGAGAAAATGCTTGCCCTGATTCCAAGTTGGTCTTGAACTTTTGACCCTCAGGCCTCTAAATGCTTAGGTAACAGTTTTGAGCCACTGTGCCAGGTTCTCAGCTGGGTGCACCTGCTGAGCC